GTAAGAGTAGCAATGGGATGAGAAGCCTGAGGAGCGGAGTTTGGGACTGGCTAGGTGATGAAAATGAGACTGGGACAAGGAGCCAAGGGGGCAGGAAGAGACAAGACTGAAACAGCGAGAGTTTAGAGAGGATGGGGCAGAAGGGGTCCCAGTGAGGAGGGGATCAGAGTCTGTGCCCACTGGGGAACATTCCCATCCAGAGCTGTCAGTAAATATCTATGAAACCCACCAGCTAATTCCTTCCCCTTCTAGTGCTGCTCCACATAGCTGTAATAGGTTGTCATCCTCTATCAGTTACTCCTTAGCTTAACTGGCAGAGGTTTGTATGGTGAATCTAAAAGTTCCATCCCTGCTGACCACCAGTGTGGGAGTCAATATGATGCCAAAATGATAGAATTTTTTTCCAGTCTGTTTTTTTTTAAACTAGGAAATTACATGCACAAACTACATTAAAAGAACATTAAGATTGCAAAATCAAGCTCTCAAGTTAAAAAATGCCAGTATTAAGGTTGCCTGTGCAACCTTAATTCAGCCCCCTTGTGCACATGCATTCTGAGAGTCTTTAATTACTTGAGCACATACTATTTTTTCCAAAGGACTCATTCAGTACACAGAATGGGCCTGCTCTGGGGATGGAGCAGAGTTGTGAAGTGAAGGAGACTGTTGAGACAGGCATCCTACAGACATTTGTTGCAAAAGTAGGAAGGTGCGTAGTGAATGAGACAGGGAAGTGCAGGAAGAGAAAGGATGGTCTCATGATTAAGACAGCTGAATGCTGCCCTATAGAAATAATGTCGATCCCTACCTCTACCACAGAATTCCTATGTGATGCCAGTCAAATCACTTAAACTGTACTTTTCACAGGTGGTCATTAATTGTGTTCTCCTTATTTTCTGAGTGCTGACTTAAGAGCCTGCAGTCTAATCAGCAGAAGTGCTGAGCACTGTCAGCTGCAAGTGAAGTTAATAGGAGCTGTGCTTTGAACATATGAAGTGCTATATAATTAGGCGTGGCAGAAATTGATTTTTTTATAATTGTAATGGATATATCAGTGTTTATTTTTAAGCAACTTTTTCAATTTTTATCTATTTAAATTTTCACAGTTGAGGAAATTATAGGGCGAATCAGATAATTATTTAATGTCAGTAGATGTTGAAATTCAAAAAGTTAAAGCTATATAATCATTAAAACATAAATTTTCAGCATCGTATGTCAAAATGTACAACGTAAATACCCTTAAATCACACTCTAATACAGGGGCTCTCAAACTGGGGGTTGCAAGGTTATTACATGGGGGAGGTCGTGAGCTGTCAGCCGCCAATCCAAACCCCGCTTTGCATCCAGCATTTATAATGGTGTTAAATATATTAAAAAGTGTTTTTAATTTATAAGGGGGGTTGCACTCAGAGGCTTGCTATGTGAAAGGGGTCACCAGTACAAAAGTTTGAGAACCACTGCTCTAATAAGTTCTCAAGCAGCATTTTTCTTACTTTGGTTATCTGCAAATTCCAATTACCAATATAAATATTTTTGTTGGTTTGTGTGTACAGTGAAATTTACATTTACCAATAAAAATCTAATCCTTCCAAGCCTTATTATAATGCTAAGCATTCTGAAAATTACCAACAGGCACCCAGAAGAAGTGGATATTTTTCACAGAAATGTAGGGCTGGATAGCAGCTTGAGAGGTCACCTAGTTCTGTCCCCTGTGCTGAGGAAGGACCAAGTAAATCTACACCATTCCTGACAGGTGTTTGACTAATCTGTTTTAAAAACCTCCAGTGATGGGGGACGCCGCAACCTCCTTTGGAAACCTATTCCAGTGCTTAACTATCCTAATAGTTAGGTTTTTCCAAACATGTAACCTAAATCTCCATTGCTGCAGATTACGCCAAATACCTCTTGTCCAGCCTTAACATATTTGAAGACTTATCAGGTCTTCCCCCACTATCTTCTTTTCTCAAGACTAAACATACCCAGATTTTTTACCCATTCTTCATAGGTCAGGTTTCTAAGCTTTCTATCATTTTTGTGGCTCTCCTCTGGAGTCTCAGTTTGTCCATATCTTTCTTAAAGTGTGGCATCCAGAACTGGACACAGTACTCCAGCTAAGTCCTCACCAGTGCTGAGTAGAGTGGGACATTTATCTCTCATGTCTTACATACAACACTTCTGTTAATACACCCCAAAATGATATTAGCCTTTTTCACAAGTGCAGCACATATCTGAATCATAGTCAATTTGTGATCCTCTATAACTCCAGATCCTTTTCAGCAGTATTACTGCCTAACCAGTTATTCCTCATTTTGTAATAGTGCATTTGATTTTTTTCTTAAGTGTAGTACTTTGCACTTGTCTTTATTCAATTTCATTTTTTGATTTCAGACCAACTCTCTAATTTCTCAAGGTCATTTTAAATTCTAATCCTGTCCTTCAAAGTGCTAGCAAGCACTCACTGCTTGCTGTCATCTGCAAATTTTATAAACACACTCTCCACTCCATTGTCCAAGTCATTAATAAAAATATTGAACAGTACCACACTCAGGACTGACCCCTGCAGAACACCATTAGATATGTCCCCTCAATTTGACAGCAAACCACTGATAACTTTGAATATGGTCTCTGAACCAGTTTTGCATCCACTTTATAGTAGCTTAATCTAGACCACATTTCCTTAGTTTACTTATAAGAATTTCATGTGTGACTGTGTCAAAAGCGTCACTAAAAATCAAGATATATCTACTGCTTTCATCCATCCACCTTTCACCTGCCACACCTCACCCCAGAGAGGAGCAAAAGAAAACTCCTCCAAGTGGCCTGGAGTGGCTGCAGGGGAAGCAGCCAATCAGAAGGGCTGCAAGAGTGGCCAATCAGGGGCCAGGAGGGCCACATAAAAAGGAGCTGCAGAGACAAAGGGCTGGTCTACACTGGGGTGGGGGGGGGGAAATCGATCTAAGATACTTTGCGTAGCTGAAGTTGCGTATCTTAGATCGAATTACCTGGAGTCCACACGGCGCGGGATCAACGGCTGCGGCTCCCCCGTCGACTGCGCTACCGCTGCTCGCTCTGGTGGAGTTCCAGAGTTGACGGGGAGCGCGTTCGGGGATCGATATATCGCGGAGATGCGATATATCGATCCCCGCTAGATCGATTACTACCCGCCAGATTGGAAGACGTACTCAAAGGCAGTCAGTTGCTGCAGGAGCTGGAAGAGAGAGGACCAGGTTCCTGGCTGCTAAAAGAGCATCAGAACCATGGACAGCTCAGTGCAGGCAGGGACCAGGGGAGCTAAGAAGGGACACCTGGCTGGTTGTGGGGATTGAGCAAGGACTGATCCTAGGGAGGGCTGCAGGAAGACAGTTTCCAAGGAAGAAGCTCTGGGGGTATGGCCCCATACCAGGGCCAGGAGAAGGTAACGACTGTATACTCTGGAAGGGGGTTGTTCTGTTGCACCTACAGACAGTGCGTGTGACTCAGCCACAGGGCTGAGTCATTGAAGACCCATCGAAGAAACCATTGACCAAGGACAGGAAGCACTCACAAGATCTGGGTGCCACCCATTCCACAAACTGAGAGACTGCACGTGCATTCACTTGACCAGGGGGGCACTTGTGTGAGGTGAGTGGTGACCCTGTTACAGTAAATTAATCGTTTTCAGGGCTTGAGTACTGTACAGTAAATAGCACACAGGCTACACACTGAACAATGAGCAGAAAATAAAATATTGCATAGCTGCTCATTAAGTGAGTACTATCCACTCTGTGGACTGAATGATGCAGAAGTCCTATGGAAAAATAGAATGTGGTCATGTAATTAAAGACTATTATAATGCATACACATAAGAGGGCTGAATTAAAGTTACACAGGCAACAAGTAACCTTAAATTGTGGCATTTGCTAACCTTTGGGTGATTGACTCAATGTTCTTCTCACATAATTTTGTGTGTGCAATAGGTTTATACAAATTTTTTTTCAACCTTTAATGAGCTTGAATTGCACACAATGCATAGAATGAGAGTGTTGCATATCCCCAAGGACAAAAGCCTTTGAGTAGCTGTGCTTCCACATTCTTTATCATTGTATTCTGAGTGTGGGTAGTGAGGTTTTTTTGAGAATCTGAAAAGATCATTGTGGCAAGTCCAATGCAACATCAGAATATTCTGCAATTGAAAATAAGCCTTTCTTGACTATTGTTGAAACTTGAATTTTTATGTTCATTGTATGGTAAAATTACATCTAGCCACCCCCAAACAGAATAGCCCAAACAATAAAACTACCACCACTCAAGCAAGATCTTCTGGACATTTTCTCCAACCTGTTAGTAATACCTCCATCTTATCCAAGATTAGTTTCAATCAGCTTTGCCATTAACTCATCAACCTTGATCAAATAGGGAGAGGGTACTGAGGCTGAATGCTGGGATCTGAAAGGATGGTCCAAATAGATCCAGGTTCTATTAACATACTGACATTACTGAAAATCCTGACACTTTTCAATTCTCTGTGGTTTCATACACATTGAACAATAGTAACACATGCCAATATGTAAATTAAAATTTGTAAGATGTAATAATCCTGTCTATTAAATTACTTTTTTTTTAAATTAGGTCAGAATTTATTGAATGATACAATGAAACTATGTGAAGAACTGTCATAAATGTAAACAACATGAGAACCAAACAGTAAGGTCTTGATCTTTAAAGGAATGCATCTGCTGCACAGGAAAGCAAGACAAACAATGTAACCTACAAAATAACTATTACTAGGTCAGTTGTGGAAGACTGCAGTTAAGTTGTTTTGTTACAGTAATAATTAGTTATCTATGGTTTGTAACATCTTGAAAGCCAAATATTCAATGTATTATGTTATGACATTAAAAGAGCACATTAAGGACTTATAGATACTATTACAATATAAAACACGGAAAACATATGCACATTGATATTTCACTTAGAGCTCTAGCTCAGTGAAGTGGATATACAATAAATCCAGGCAACCTCACCTGAGTAGCTGCAGACTGACAGGAAGAGGAGGAAGATGATGAGACAACAGGAATGTCAGACTGGACAGCAGCCACGGTGGTAGCAGGAGTAAAAATCAGCTGGGAAGAGAGAAAAAGAAAACTGAAGAAAACACAATTCACAGATAAAAGAAAGTAGTCAGGTAACAGTAAAACCTTGAAATTTATAGTAGGGAGGAAAATGTTACTTAGGGATGCATGAATTCTAATTTAAATTCTTGTTGCCTTTAACTCCACTTTATTTTTTTTAAAGCAAATGTTTGTGGGATCTCAAACAAATATACATTATATAAACATAAGTAGTAATTTTAAAAATGTGTTCTGCATTTTAAGGATAATAATACTTCCGCACTTACATTGCCTTCCATCCAAGTGTCTCAAAAGAGGCACTTAATCTTACTTCCATTTTACAGAGCAGAGGAGGGGGGTGAACAGAGGTATAAAGTCAAGCAACCAGAGTCAGATAAAGATATGGAATGAAACAGCAACAGAACCTGACATCTCTTGACTCCCAATAGTCTGCTCAGACAACTGGACTACACTGCCTCAAAATGAATTTTCAGATTAGAGAATATCATATTTAGTAACACAAATAAGTGACATTTTCTTTTTTCAAGTATACAAATTGAGTGTTTTGTGAAAAAACGGTCACAGCTAGAGACTGAAATCCTCTGTTCATTAAGATAACATATACCATACAGGTAACACCAATGTAAGCTTCCCCACAAAACACCACCAATGCCTGTCATGACCTGCAAGGACTTCCTTTAGGGACAGTTCAGACTCTGTCCATTCAATCCTCCCTATATCCAGGTGCTGAGATTGCCAACTAGTTCTAATGGTGGTGGGGTTTTGGTGTGATATACTGTCAACATTACTTTAAAAATATTTCAGTTCATCCCACAGAGCGACAGAATAATTTGTAGGAGTAAGACTAGACTTGATACATGTGTTCCTCAGAAGAATTACACTTGCAAAAGGCAAGAAAGAATGCTTTTAAAAAGATAGCCAAAGAGGTTGAGGAGGAGAACCACTCTGAACTAATCAGACTACATGTCTGTTAATTCAACAATCAAGGTTTCATAAATATAAACAATAAAAATATAAGGGCCCAAACCTGAGGTTATGATTCAGGAAAAAGTCTTCAAGATTGGGCCCTGTAACAGAGTCCTGGCCCTTTAAGGCCAAAGGAAGTAACATGAGAGACCAGTCACCCCATTCCATGTGTCTAGGGGATGGCAGAGGAAGGCTGAAGGAAACCCAAACAACCACTGGGTCAGAGGAGGATAATCTCAGAATAATTAGTGTCTGAAGGGGGCAGGGATAGGAAAACCCAGGTCATTGCTCTCTATGGCAGCAGGAAGGCCCAGGACCATGAGCCTTGTAGAGGGGGAGGAGCAGGGCTCCCCACCCAGGTGTTTAGGATAATTAGACCCACATGGGAAAGGTCAAGGGAGCGGTCATATGATAGGGATGGAGGACTCAAAAACAAGGTTCCAAGCCCAGTCAGGGAGAGCTTGCTGAAGGGAGGATTTAAAGGACACAGTCCTACAAGGAAGGTTGTGAAAAGCGCTGAACTAAACAGGTGAGTTTGCGGATGGAGGAGGCCAGCACTTGAAGCACACAGTCCCAGAAAGGAGGATTTTGGGGCCCTGAACCTAGGGTTGGATGAAAAGGCAGCTCTTTTGAGAGCTGGGTTATGTTTAATGAATTAGAACCCAAAAGAGTGAGAATATTGTTCCCAAAGACTTCGGAGTGTAAATTAATTATATCCAGAAACTGAAGTAGGGGACTGCAGTGGCATGCCATGCTGCACGAGGGTGTGCTTGGAGACTGCACTCTCTTACAGGTCTTAAATAAACAAATACTATTTTACATTATAAAGAGAACTGTATCATAACTAAAGAGACATGAAAGTCATATGGCATCAGAGTATCTTCTGCACTTTCCACATCACATCTGAATCTCCCAAGATTCACTAAATAGCTGCTCTCAAATATCTAAAAGGGAACTGAAATGAAAAAAACTGCTGATATTGTATTACTGCTGTACACTACAGTACATTTCGTTATTTACTTAATTGAGTGTCAAATGTTGAAATACCAATTTCACTGGCACGGAAAAAAAACCTGAGTAAATTAGCTGTTCACAACAGCTAGACAACACATACTGAAAAGTTTAATAGATATACATGTTGTGACGTTATCTGATTAAAATATGACCATGCAAATCATTGTTGCTACCACTGTTGTATAATTGCAACAAATCTTATGCAAAGCGTGACACGTGGCCAGAAAGGGTTAAACATTCTACAGGCTAAATGACCCAGAGTCAACCTGTAGAGACATGTTAGAAAAGTATGAATGGTAATTAGGGCCAATCCATGCTAGATAGGCTAGAACTTTGAAATGCAAACCTGTATTGTTAAGAATTGGAGGTGATACCAATGGTACGTGTGTACTTATAGCATGTTAGATGTTAGCCATGTAAACAGACAGTTCCTGTCTGTCACTATAGCTATTGATTCAGAGATCAAAAGGAAATATTAACATTTAAATGAACTGTAAACATAGTAATGTATAGCAAATCACCTTAGAATGGTGGAAAATGGGCAATTGCCTTATGTTAATCTGTATAGCAATTTACCAGTGATGCTTAGAAAATAGGTCTATTTCAAAGTCTCCATAATTGCCTATTGTTTGCCTGAGGACTCGGAGCTGTCAAAGAAGACCTGGAACTTTATAAGAATGGCTGGGGTCCTGATCCTTTTTATCTCAGAGCTACTTGCTGCTTCATGCAGGGGAAGCTTAAGCTGAAAGGCTGAGATCTCCGGTCCTAACCTGGAACCACCCTGAATATAAACACTGGACTATAACCTGTGAACTAATTCTGAAAGAACTCTTTGCAACAACAAAGCTCACCATCTCTACCATGAATCTGAAGAACTGTACTCATGTCTGTATGTATACTGATCTTTTAACCAATACACTCTCTCTTTTCTTTTTTAATAAATTTTAGTTTAGTTGTTAAGAATTGGCTGTAAGTATGTATTTGGGTAAGATCTGGAATATTCATTAACCCAGGAGGTAATGTGTCCGATCCTTTGGGATTGGTAGAAATTTCTTATATGATTGATAAGATTTTCAGTAATCCTCATCATATTTGACTTGGGTGTCTGGGTGGAGACCTAAGGCTGGGTTGCTTTAGGAGAACTGTGTTGTTAGCTTCTGGGTAACCAGTAAGGTATTATAGAAGCTGTTTTGTGCTGCTTGGTAAATGTAAATACTGGAATATCCACCAGATTTGGGGATTGTCTGCCCCATTCTTTGCAGCTCACCCTAATTGAGTAACTCCAGTGTGGCTCCCCGGGACTCCGGTCACACATGTATATATTGCATCTTTTTCCGTCCTATTCAATATATTATGTATCCACCATTAGCTTTACACATCAGTCTCTTTGAAACTCCCTTTATTTATTTTTTGGCAAATTGGAGACAGCTCCTTCCAGGTGTCCACAAAACACTGGTAGCATATACTAGATTGCTGCATCTACAGTTTTAACTACTTTCTCAATAAGTGGGTAGGAAATTTAATAGTATAAGAAAAAGCTCTACCAGCGTATATCTATATTGTTTAACAAATCTCAGGGGGACGAGGGGATTTTTCATGAATATAATTATAGGTCCCAATCGTGCAAGTCTTATGTATGTACTTAACTTCATGCACTGTGAGTAGTCCCACTAATATCAAGAGCCCCGATTGTGGAATGAGATCTGAAGTCAGTGGGGAGTACTCAGTGCACAAAGCACATGCATAAGTCTTTGCAGGACCTGGGCAATAGCTTGTATGCAAACAATAGAAATATCTATGGCCCCACACCAGCACTGAATACCACCTGGATGGATCTGTGCACTTGTGCAGAGCCCCAATGTCTTCAGTGAGGTTGCGCACAAGGGCAGGGGTCTGCCCATGCAAAGCTCATTGCAGGACAGGAGCCTGTGTTTGCACTGTGAACAGCATTACATTTTTTAAATCTCCATAATTAAGGTTTTACAACAGTCATTTTCTTTTACTGTAGAATTATTCAAACTTTGAAAATTACCCTTTGTTTAAAAACATGGAAATACAATACTGACAAGAAATTTCAAAAATCAAATGAATCCCATATGAATCTTAACAGCACGAAATCTATAAACCCAACTCAGTCTCCAGAGGCAATACTCCATCAAAGCATATTCTTAGTTAAATGTGAGAAAGCTTTAATCAAGAGCCTGTGAACTCTGATGTTAGAAACACATTAGAACAATCTGCGGGGAATACAGACAGCTACAGTATATCTTGTCACATATCTACTAAGCAAGGACAGATGTTCTCTTCCTATTTTACAAATGTTCAGTCATCTCATTAATTACAATATGTACCAAACTAATAACACTGAGCTGTTTCTAAAGCAGAATTTCTTTTTTCTGCTCTCAAAGGACTAAGCAGTCCCTTTGTCTCTGTGGCTCACGTTGCTCTAAGAACTATTTATGTACAAAAATAACTGTGAACATGGCAACTTGTGAAACTTACCATTTGTGCTCGGAGGTACATTTGAGCCTGGCTTGCACTCAGGGTAGGAGAAGTGCTCCCCAGCAACATCGTCTGTTGGGTTATACTGCTGCTAGTAGTGTTGGAGGTCTGCGAACGGCTTATTAATTGTGGAGGTGTAGGAGAGGTGGAAAGGTTAATCTAAGGAAGTAAAAATGTTACTTTGGTCATGGCCCTTCATCCTGGGTTTTAAAGTCAATCAGCCTTACCAAATACATCAAGGCAGTTGTAGCATCCAAGCTGTAAAGACTTCAACAATATTTTGATCTGAAGTCTATGACTGCTACAGATTCTCATCAAAATAAGTCAGCTACTGTGTGAACGCTCATACGGTACCTTTTTTTATAAGTAGCAATATTAATGTGGCAGTATTATACATTTTCATTATAATAATGCAATTTACATGCAGCCATGCTTGGGCAGTTCAATCCATGAATTGCAGAGTTACTTGTCACCATACGTTTTATTTTTAGTTTTGCATTGAACATGAAACAGAAATAGCTAAAGCGTACACAATACAGAAATATGTGTGGTCTGTCACTAGTTTAAGGCACCAATTCAAATCAGTGGCATCAATAATCCACACTGCAACACTATCTACTCCTTTTCTCACACCTTAATACTCATGTGCTGCCCCTGTCTAAATTAGGATGGAAAACGAGTTGTTTACATATCACTACAGAGGTGCATGGTTTTTATATAAATGAAATAAACAACAAAAGAAGAGTTCAGACAGGTACATTTTCAAATGAAGAAATTCACAGTATTTTGGTATAATTGTAAACTCGTGAAGATAATAAGGAATTAAATTTTAAGCCAACATTTTCACACAGTGTCAAAGATAACTGGCTTCAAATAATTGTGTGTTGGCATAATTCATCAGATTACAGGTTCTAAATAATTAATGATTAAAGTGTACATAAAAAAAAAGTAAATGTGGGGCTTAGGTTGCATGAATGTCATTTGGAGGAAGACAAGGCCATTACAAACAAATCCTTAAATACCATTGCCAATTTAAAATTTACACCATGCATTGTATTCTTCACATGAAAATGCATAATTCCCCATAATGACTGTTTGGTTTAATGTAAGCATTCTTAATGAATGATAATCTGTGATTGTTGGATCAATATGTGTTTTGTTTTTGTGAGCTGTGAATGGAAGTTCTAGCTAAAGAATGAATGCACTGGAGAAGACAACAATTAATTTATTATGGTTGAACAGAAACAAAACTAATTAATAAAAAAGTTATTTTCCTCTGGATAATTTACCAGAGTTACCATGAAATGAAGAAAAGATAGCACAGATTTCATCTGATGATGCCAGTTGTTTGTAATATCCAAAGAATTACACTTATTTTATGCTAAATGGCCACGGAACGTTAAAAGTCAAAGATTTAGTGTGAAGTGTAGTTGTAGCCGTGTCAGTCCCAGGATATTTAGCAGGGCTTTGGAGCTGTGCTCCGGCTCCGCTCCAGCTCCAGGCAAAAGCCTGCAGCTCCACTGCTCTGCGCTCCAGCTCTGGGCTCTGCTCCAAAGCTTTGATATTTAGAGAGACAAGCTTGGTCTCTCTAAATATTTAGTAGTCTATTATAATTGTTAGTAATCCTACCAATTACTATACATTAAGTTTAATATAAAGTGAATTACTACAAAGTGAAAAATAAGATTAGCGGCTCAGAATTAAGCTCACAACTATGAAAAACATTAAGATAAAAATATTTTGCAAGCATATTAATCTGTCACATCTAGTTTTTCAAAGCTATTCCATTATACAATATTCAAAAGTGGAACCTATTGAAATAGTTAAATCTGTCTTCCTGAGACTTACGATGTTTAGACTTTGAAGATGTTACACTTTCCAGCATCGACACATTAAAATTTTGTTATTCTTGCATTGGCTTTCAAAGAATCAGAATCTCAAAATTATGTATAATCGCTTGTCTGATTTCTGTATACAGTTATCATGAATGCGTACACAAACCAGGTATGAGATGGCCAGAAATACTTAACTGGCCAATTTGTATACCTAAATGCTCAATTTAAATTCACAATGACAATACCTAGTGTTACAAAATTAGAAATTTGATGCAACAGTGGGCTTCTGAGATTTTGAAAAATTAAACCTTATGTTTACTTTAAACAGTCCTCAGCATTTCCAGTTAACAGATGCAAGTTAACAGACTGACAAGCACCTGTGTAATAGCTCCCTACTAAACACATGTATTTTATGAGAACATAACTGCAAAAAAAAGTATGTCATACAAATAAGGTGTGGTATTTTAAAGGAACAGCATTGAAAATCTGTAATTGTAGAGGCCAAACAAAGTGCTTCTATTTTTGCACTACACCAGTGGTTTTCAACCCCTAGGGGTCCACAGACTATGTCTAAGGGCGCCACAAAAGGTTGTGGTTACCATATAACAGTGGTTTTCAACCTTGGGTCCGCAGACTGTCTAAGACTTCCAAATGGGTCCACACCTCCATTTGAAATTTTTTTAAGGGTCCGCAAATGAAAAAAGATTGAAAACCACTGCACTACACAGTGGCCTGTAATTAATAAATAATAATTGGGTACTTTAACACTGTGTCTCAATCAGAATATGAAACAATAATTAGTATAAAGGGTAATGTTGTGGAAACGGATTAATCTAAACAGCTACCACGAATAGATACTTACTGAATGTGATACAAGCCAGCAATTAATATTTTAAGAAAAATATTAACTTTAGACACCCAAATATTAAGTGCCTAAATCCATATTTAGGCACACGAATAAAAGTGGCCTGATCTTTTAAGGTGCTACTCACAGCTTGCTCGACAGCTCTGAAGATCAAGTAATTTTATTTTATCTACCCACATATTGGTTTAGTTGCCTAATTTTAGATATTCAAGTTTGAAAATTTTGGCCAATAACTCTAAAATATTATGCAACTTAATGTTAAATTGTGCTTCCTAGAAATTGTACTTAATATTTTCTTAAGATAAAGGTTGAGATTTTCAAAGGGGAATTGGGCAACTAACTACCTTGGATTCCTTTGAAAATCCCAGACTAATTGGGGTACTAGTTGAACACATGATGTCCTTTTAGGGGAGTGTCTCTTACATCTTTTTACCTCTAACTACTACAGTCTCATTATGCACCTACTTCTCATTGTGTTGCAATAATTTTAGTCAGATTTATTTATTTTAAACATGAAAAATGTTTTTTCTTTACAAGAAGTTGCATTATAGCCATTGAAGGCTAGGATGGGATACAGAACCTTACCGAGGTCTGTGACATGCTTGACTGCTGAGTGACGCTCCCAGTAGGGGATGAACACTGCCTTCCACCCGACAGGCTTGCCTAAATAGCAAGAACATGTATTAAATATGTCATCTAAGCGGAAATAAAAAATGTTTAAATAACACTGATATTATTACATGAGCCAACAGAAACCCACCTCTAGTTTTACCCTTTCTCTGAATTATCAGTAAAAATAAATAAATTTTACCCAGTAGAGTTAGGGATACGTTTACAGCATAGTGCAATCCAAACTATTGGCCCTAAACTGCATGGTGCCCAATGTCCTCAATTTACATTAATATGAAGGCACTCAGAACTTTGCAGGCTTAGTACCTCTGAGAGGAACACAAACTAACAGAAACCAGGAAAGTGTTAATGATGAAGCTGGGTGTTTAGTCCACCACATACAGCACTGAAAACTTACATGACAGGTCACTGATGTTGAAGTGTAAAAATCAGTCCTCACTAAAATCCTTATGAAATTGATTTGCATGGTGAAAAAAATCCTCATAAAATACCTTCCAAACATAATTACGCATGCTCCAAAAACACTTTTCAGAGTTAAATGTTTGGTCATTTCAGTTATTTTTTCAAAAGAGAAAGCAATACAATAATTGAATGGCATAAACTCTGAAACAAGTTTCACCCTCCATTTTTGTTTAGCACCCAAAACTATTTGGTCATTTTTAAATGATAAATTCCAAAACACTAAAAGGTCAAAATATTTTGAAATTTGAGAGGAAAAAAGTTTATTTCCACCAAGGCTTTGCATTCCTGGTTGCAGCAGGAACCAAATTTTTATGGCTAAGACAAAAACCTCTCACAATATGGGGTAGAGAACATCAGCCTTTCCATTATAAATTATAAGTGCATAAGCATTTCTGTAATTGTATTCTGGATGATTTTTTTCTACCATATAGTTCTTAATACTAAAACTAAATCCTGTGGAGACCCATTTCATGGACAAAAAACAAAATTAAGTTTTTCAGGAGCAGATCATGTAAATAAATGAAGGTTTCCCTCAATTTTTACAGCTTCTGCCTGTCACAATTGCTTAAAAATTGTATTCGTCTCTCTATTGTTGGCTACCTTTGAATTTGGGGGTGAGAGGAGGGTTACCTGCAACTTGGATAAACAGCCTAAAACATATATGAACAGCAAGGAAACAGGATCCACTTTCTAATTAAGAATGCAATCCCACTATGCTTACTCACATGAGACGTCCCCCATATATTTTAATATGTACTCACATGAGTAAGGATTACAAGGTCAAGTCCTGTGTGGATTATATTTAATTGTCTTAAATTCAAGGTCCTTTATTGAACATGGATGCAACATCAGTTACCTTCTTCTGAGTCATCTCAATTTTAGGTTGAGATCATGTGACTGTCTCAGGCAATCAGCATGATCCAGTGGAAGAGGTACACAACTGTGATCCATCAACTCCCGAGTCCTAATCCTATGTCCGACAAAATGAAGCTGTATAGCCTTGAGGTCTTTAACTCTTCATGTCTCTACCTCTCCATGTGTAAAATGATAATTACTTCTCTCACCTGGATACCGTTCCCTTTCAAATAACCACTGAGGACAATGGAAGTCTTTCGATTAATTTTAATGACCATTGGATAAGGCTTATTGTGATGATTAATGCTAAAGCCTTTGCAAATAGGAACAGAATATGGCATTGTCTCGTACTTTCTTTTCCAATTTCAGAATTACAACTAAGGTTTGTTGTAACTTATTATGTACCCATATTCGTTGGCATGATTCACTAAAATTAAGTACCAAAATAAGATATAAAACACTAATTATTTTTATTTTATCTGTATTGGGGAGTATTATGTTCCTTCCCTCCCCCCCCACCCATATTTTGGGAAGGGGGGTTGAGGGTTGGAGAAGTTTGGATTTTTTCTGTTAACATCATTACTGTACCATATAAGTATCTGTATAGTTTATTTTAATATATGTAATGGACACCCAGAGCACTGGATGAGCACCTATTGAGATTCTTACAAAACTAAAAATATTCAAGTGGGTTTGCAGTCCATACAGAGCCAATTAAAAGAATAAAGTCATTAAAATATTACAATGAATTATTGTGAGGTATGTAGACATGCACAGTAAAGCTGTTGTTTGGTAATGGTTTACGTTTTTCATCCTAGAACATTAGTTTTAGACATGTGATCCAGAGAGCCCCAATGCCAACTGACAGAGGGCCCATCACACTGTAGTTCATATCAGGCCGGACACACACACTATGCACGGTTGTCATAATACGTATCTAAATGGTGTCTTGTAAGGTATTATATGTAAACTGATGACACGCTGGTTCCAAAAATTATTGTGATATATATATATATACACACACACACACACACACACACACAGTTTGTGTACATAGAGTTGTGTGTGTGATAGAAATATGTGCTTATGATGTGCCTGGGAGGCAGTGCATACACTAAGTTGACAGCTAAACAAAGGAATGTGGATTTGCCTGTCTGACCATCTTGATTGCAGGCAAAGGACAATGAAAGTAAATTTACATATAAGGTAAACAAAGCCATTAAACTAACAAATGTAAGGAGGAGGTTAGTGAGCTCACCAGAGGACAGAACCTGTACCCAGGATGCCTTCCTGGCTCTTAAGGCAGAGACAATGGGCTTTGGGTAACATAAGGGGAGCAAAAAGACCTTTTAGCTATCCATTACTGAGGGGACATAGCATACAGTACACTTTCAGCCTGTGAAAGTTGGGTCCTGTCATCTGAAAGGTTGGGGACGCTGGTAATCTGATATAAGTAAGAAAACTGCTTAGGAAAAGATTGTATCTTGCTAAAATTAAGTTTTAGCCAATAGAAAGTATGTTTTGTTTTGTATATAACCATACCTGTCTCCTTCTCTTGCTTAGTATCACTAAAATCTCTTCTTTGTTAATAAACTTTTTTTAAATTTTACTATGAATCATCTCAGTGCCGTTATACTGAAGTAAATGCAAGTCTTCAGCTAAGTTAACAGAATAATATGTACGCTGTCTCTTTGGAGGGAGAAAACTTAATTTCTGCAAGTGTCCAGTGAGAGAGACCACACACTGAGGGAGGAACTGGGGTTCATTCATTGTTACCTGCAAGGCGAGATTAACACTGGCAGAGTCTTGAGGAGTTTGCTGGTGAAGCAGACAAGTTACTTTGGCAGGGAGCGGAGACACAGTTTAATCTCCAGCAAAACTCACTCTTGCTGAGGCAGAGGGGTAACATGGTGGCTCACAGTTCTGGGTGTCCTAAGCAGAACATCACAACATATTTAAGTCTCACCTGCGGAACAGCTGCCAGACTCTGAAACTGGGTACTGCTTAAGTGCTGCTGTTGTAGAGCGGCAGTCTGCAGCATTAAATGCTGCTGTTGGGCGGCATACATCTGCTGAAGATACTGAGCAGCTGAGCTAGGGGGACGATGCAAGGCCTGCTGAATAACCTGCAATATACCAATAAGTAACAAATCACAATTACAAAATACTAGGGCTGTCAAGCGTTTAAAAAAATGAATTGTGATTAATTGCACTGTTAAACAATAATAGAATACCATTTATTTAAATATTTTTGGATCTTTTCTACATTTTCAAATATATTCATTTCAGTTACAACACAGAATACAAAGTGTACAGTGCTCACTTTATATTTATTTTTGATTACAAATATTTTGCACTGTAAAAAACAAAAGAAATAGTATTTTTCAATTCACCTAATACAAGAACTGTAGTGCAATCTCTTTATCATGAAAGTAGAACTTACAAATGTAGAATTATGTACAAAAAAATAACTGTATTCAAAAATAAAACAAAGACCACTCAGTCCTACTTCAGCCAATCGCTCAGACAAACAAGTTTAGTTACAATTTGCAGGAGACAATGTTGCCCACTTCTTATTTACAATGTTACCGGAAAGTGAGAACAGGGATACTCCTGGCACTATCGTAGCTGGCTTCCTAAGATATTTACGTGCCAGATGCGCTAAAGATTCATATGTCCCTTCATGCTTCAACTACCATTCCAAAGGACATGAGTCCATGCTGATGATGGGTTCTGCTCGATAACAATCCAAAGCAATATGGACCGATGCATGTTCATTTTCATTATCTGAGTCAGACACCACCAACAGAAGGTTGATTTTCTTTTTTGGTGGTTCAGGTTCTGCAGTTTCTGTATCGGAGTGTTGCTCTTTTAAGACTTCTGAACGCATGCTCCACACCTCGTCCCTCTCAGATTTTGAAAGGCACTTCAGATTCTTAAACCTTGGGTGGAGTGTTGTAGCTATCTTTAGAAATCTCACATTGGTACCTTCTTTGCATTTTGTCAAATCTGCAGTGAAAATGTTCTTAAAATGAACATGTGTTGGGTTCATCATCCAAGACTGCTATAACGTGAAATATATGGCAGAATGTGGGTAAAACAGAACAGGAGACCTACAATTCTCCCCCAAAGAGTTCAGTCACAAATTTAATTAAATCATTCTTTTTTTAAATGAGCGTCATCAGCATGGAAGCTTGTCCTCTGGAATGGTGGCTGAAGCATGAAGGGGCATATGAATGTTTAGCATATCTGATACGTAAATACCTTGCAATGCCAGCTACAAAGGTGCCATGCAAATGCCTGCTCACCCTTTCTGGTTACATTGTAAATAAGAAGAGAACAGCATTATCTCCTGTCAATGTAAACAAACTTGTTTACCTTAGCAATTGGCTGAACAAGAAGTAGGACTGAATGGACTTGTAGGCGCTGAAGTTTTACTTTTTTTTTTTGGTTACATAACTGCACTCAAAAACAATCTACATTTGTAAGTTTCATTTTCACGACAAAGATTGCACTACAGTGCTTGTATGAGGTGAATTGAAAAATACTATTTCTTTTGTTTATCATTTTTACAGTGCAAATATTTGTAATCAAAAATAATATACATTTTGATTTTAATTACAACACAGAATACAATATATATGAAAATGTAGAAAAAATCCAAAATTTTTAATAAATGTCAATTGGTATTCTATTGCTTAATAGTGCGATTAAAACTACGATTAATTTTTGAGTTAATCACGTGAGTTAACTGCAATTAATCGACAGCCCTACAAAATACTAAACTATTTTAATCTTGATAGTGCTATAATGGAAGTTAACCATTGCAAGAAAATAAAAAACAAACAAACACTTCCCCCACCCCCCAACACCTGCATAACTCTAAACTTCCTACATAATCATTGTTCAAGTGAATTATAGATTGTAACTAACACACACATTCTGGTCTACAGTATAAGCCTGTTCTTTGACAATCTACATTACATAGCGCCTTTCAGCTCAATTGTTCCCAAATCATTTTACAAATAAAATACATACTATACAGCACTACTGAAATGCTAGTTCTTCTGAGGTGAATGACAAATAAGCAAAGCAGATAACTGGCACTAAGAAACGTTACACAACAGCCGGGATTGGAGATAAAAGACTGGCAAGAACACTGGGGCAACCTTCTACATCTACTCTTCAAAAATGTGTCACAGGCCCTTTAGGATAAAATTCTAGCTCCAATAAAGTCAATGGGAGTTTTACCACTGACTTCAATGAAGCCATGTTATTATTAATGTCTATGCACATTGGTTTTTAAAGGTCTCGTCAGAAAAACCTCACATACAACCTTATAAAATACATGGTATGCAATTTATTTATGCAAAAGACTGGTGAGCAGATCTGACCCTTGTCATGACAAGGCTGTGGTTCCAGGGAATCTAGATATTTCATCCACTCCACTACTTATGAGCATGATAACAAATCTAGTCTGTATATTGTAAGATTCAAGTCAGCAGCACTGTTTCTACCACTGAAAGTTTTTGTAGACAATCAATATTTCATAAAAACACTCAAACAAGCCAGACAGTAAGAACCAGAAGGGAAAGCAAGAGTGAAACTTTTAACTTACTAGCATGCAGCACTGCCCAATTTATTTTTATAAGCCAGTACTGTTTCCTATGTTTGAGTTTTTAATCAGTAAACATTGGTTATGAATTTCCTTTCCATTCCTCTGTACACTACATCAGAGGTTCTCAACCTTTTTCTTTCTGAGGCCCCACCAACATGCTATAAAAACTCCCCAGCTCACCTGTGCCACACAACTGTTTTTCTACATATCCAGTAGATTAAAAGCCAGGGCGGGTGTTAGGGGGTAGCAAGCATGGCAGCAGTCACAGGGGGCCCAAGTTGCTTGGGCTTCGGCTTCAGCCTCGCATTCAGCTTTCTGCCCTGGGCTCCTGCAAGTCTAACACTGGCTTTGCTCTTTTATTTTGGAGGCCCCCCTGAAACCTGCTTGTGGCCCCCCTAGGAGGCCCCAGATCCCTGGTTGAGAACCTTTGCACTACATCACAGCCCAGTACCTGTACAGCATGTCTGTCGGAGCCACTGTAGACAGATATCTGTGGTGGTTGTGTCCGAGAGGAGGAGGTGGTGGTGATGGTAGTTGTACATGCAGAACACGTCGTTGCATTTGATTCATTCTCCATAGCAGTGCAATGTTCCTTCAGTCTGGCAGGAAATTCAAGCAGTTCATTTATACTAGTACATGATGTACTGAATTTAAAGAAAAAAAATCTAAAAGATTCCAAAAAAATAATCATGGACAATTTATGTTAATTCCTAAGAAAAGGACTCATTGTATATCACTTGTGGACAGGCAGACACAGAATACCTTCACAAGCTTAAAACTATTTCAAATTATTAGGTATAATACACGTAAGCTACATTAAAAACTACATCAATAAACTACTACTTTAGGAATCACCGTCAAAACTGTATACCACCAAGCTACACATTATATCACCATCCTCCAAAGAAGCACAGTGGGAAAGCCACTGTGCTACTCACATCATGCACCTGAACCAAGATAAAGTTTCTGAAACAAAAATCATTGGTGGTTCGCTTTTGCCCTCAGGAGACAAGACAGTGGGAAAATTCCTTTTACTTCTCTGCTGCCTTATAAAGAAGAGCAGTATTGTATGAAGGGAGTCTTCTTATCTATTCTGGCCTCTCTTTACCCACTAACTGAAATAGCAGATTCCATTCCTTAATGCAGATCTCCTCAGCTCTCCTAACCAACCTTTCTTTCTTTCTTCTGTAGAAGATGACTTCTCTTCATAGAAGTCTTGTTTAAAATTTAAGTAAACTCACTATGAGTTTCTGGTAGAGTTAACATTTTTGTTCCATTTTCTGTTTCAGTATGGTCAGAGCAACAATAAAGAAGATGGCTAGTATTTTTGGAAGGAGTAGGATCATGGGAGAACATACTTTTTCTTTTACTTTATGTTTTTAAGAGAAGGTAGCAGAGCACAGAAAGCAGTCCTTTAGAAAGTTGCAGACAAACTGCATTCTAAGAGCATAACAAAGCTCTGTAGAGCGCTATCCTACAGCACATAACTTGTAATAATCAATACGTTCTAACAAACATGTGATAATCTAGGACTTCGCACTTGTCACTATGCTGCTTCCCATGGCCATTATGAACCTTATGGCGGTAGTGGGAAAATAACTCAGAATTCTTGCTCCAAAAGCATAGGCCTCCTACCACTTGAGCTGAAAGAGAATCTCCTTCTGTAAAATGGGAATAATGATACTTGTTTGCAAAGTGCTTAGAGATCTACTAATGAAAAACGATATGTAAGAGTTAGGTACAGTATCATCATCATCAGGTGTTATGTATAGGGCTTATGGTACAAAGCTGACCAGTTCTGATACTCTCCAGCAGAGGACAACAGCCCTATGTGTACATGCCAGTATCATTCAATATTAAGAAAAAAATGTAACAGGTAATATAAAGGCAAACTGTACAGTATTGTATCTCCCTCCTGTCCAGGATCTTGGGTGCACTTCAACGAAACATTTACATTTATAATTCCTCTTTCCGATTTGAGCAGAATCTTGTATAATTCAACTAAGTTATCATGAATACAGGGAATCACTCAATGTTTAATTTTCATAATTGATAAGTATTTTGGAGGTACAACACTGGCTATATGTGTGATGCATCCGCCTCTAGTGGCTGATCCACAGGAGGCCAACAGGCTACTATTTCTGTGAGATAATAGTTACTCCTTTATCTTAAATTAGGGTGACCAGACACCAACTGTGAAAAAACAGGGTGTGTGTGTGTGGTGTGGGTAGGGGGGGTAATAGGCACCTATATAATAAAAAGTCCCAAAAAACGGGACTATCCCTTTAAAAACGGCACAGCTGGTCACTCTAGCTTAAATGGTCCCACTTGCTCAAAAAGAGTTTATTCTTCCAACTTTCCCTAGCATTAATTTGTTGAAAATGAATTCAATAATTATATGAAGAAAATATACTATAATTATGCAGAGTTTTTGTTATGTTTAGTTTGAGATCCAATCTTAAACGCAGTGGGCGCATAACTCACTCAACTCAACCCTGCTCTGGTGTTTTTGCCAATGATTGCGTGGACAGGGCTTAACAGAACAGGGTCCTTCATTGGTGGCACCTAGGTGCTATCACAGTACAAACAATAGTAATGGAAGCAACATTTAGACATTTTATGTGTGTCTGAAAGAAAAAGAGAACACTATCTTCTCTACTGATTGGTTGCAGCATAGAAAGAACTACATGTATTTCATTAGGCGACAGCTAACATGATCTTTTGTTAGCTCAAGTAACATAGACCTATAATTTTTGAGAAATTTGTATTTTTGGGGCTGAAGAGGCTGGAATCCAGAATCAGTTCAGCAGGTGGATGATAATTTATGACACAGAGGATAACCTCTCCATACTGAAGGTTGAAACCATAGTCCCTTTATAAGACTGACTTGATCCCGTTTGCATAAAGCAGCTACATCCCTCGGCCCACGCCACTTCCTGCAGTCCCCATCGGCCTGGAGCGGCGAACCGCAGCCAGTGGGAGCCGCCATCAGCTGAACCTGTGGACGCGGCAGGTAACTAAACTGGCCTGGCCTGCCAGGGGCTTTCCCTGAACAAGCGGGGGACCGGCTTTGAGAACCACTGCTCTAGTGTAGACACAGCCTTAGACTAGAATTTGGAGCAACCCAAGCAACAAGCAACTAAGTGAACCCATAAAATTATCAGATGACAGAGGCATCAAACACCAGGAACCAGTAGAACCACAGTGTTAAGGGGATAGGGTGAAACCTGTTCAGCTATATCCAGTGGTACTTCAGTTTTGCCAAGAAGATCCTATGCAGGTTAATCACAAACCCAAGTAAGCTTAAGAGTCCATAAAACTGCCTGATGAGGCCAAGCCACCCCAGCAGTCTCCACCCTCCCCCACCCCATGCCCTCAGCAGATTGCCCTATGGTAGAACCCCCCCCCTCCCCGCCACTGCCCTCCCCGTGCCACCGTCCACTTTAAGACACACCACACCACTGCCCTGAGCCACCCACCCCATGACCCCAGCGCTATACAGCCTCCCACCATGATACTGCCACCTCTGGGCCAGGCCACCCACCACCGCATCCCACTTCAGGCCAGGTCACCACCCCCTCAGGCCACCCACTGAGCCACCGCCCCCTCAGTGCGGCGGGCTGGCCAAGATGGGGCCCCTGGCGGGGGCAGCGTGGCAGGCAGGAGCCCTAGAGCCAGGAGGGGCCCATGGCCCAGCGATGCCCTGCCTGGCACCCGCTATCAGACAGGACAGGGGAACGGCTCCTTGCACGAGAGTGGCCCAAGATCGCCGCGTTATCAAGTCCCAGTTCCCGGCCCCGCCCGCAGCCGCTTCCCCCTCCCCCATCCACCCCAGCAGGACCGGATTCGCCTCCACCGAATTACTCACTCCGCTTCCGCCATCTTCTCTCCTCCCTCACGGGGAGGCATTGCGCATGCGCCCCGCCGCCGGGCGGTCGGAGTCGGGGGAAAGGGGGAGTTGTGAGCCCCCGGCTCCAGACATCCCGCCCCACGGCTGCAGGTACCTCACCTAGCAGTGCGGTCCTCGGATCTGTGTGGGCGCCATAGTGTGGCAGACAGCTGCTCCTCCGAGTCCTACTCCCCTCACGCTGCCCAGCCGACACAGCTTGTGTTATCAATAAGCTTCTCCTAAGTCGCCACAGACTTAGAGGGGGCGAGGGAGGCGGAGGGCTAATGGCCGTGGCCCAGGGTCAGGGGAGTTTTTAGGGGACTGTTACCTTTTTAATCAAGTCCTGTATCCCAAAAATGCCTCCAGCCAAGGCCCATGAAAGGTTATCGGGGTCATGGTGAAATGGTGGCTGCGCTTTAGCCCAACACAACTGCACTGCCTCCAGTCCTCCTCCCCAATGTTTGTTTTTGGAAAAATCTAAAGAGGGCACAGGAGACAGGTTTCCGAGTAGCAGCTGTGTTGTTCTTTTTGTGGATACAGACTAGGAGTACTTGTGGCCCCTTAGAGACACGAAAGCTTATGCTCAAATAAATTTGTTAGTCTCTAAGGGGCCACAAGTACTCCTGTTCTTTTTACGGGAGACAGGCTGGTCAGAATTAGAGGGTAGCTAGAGCATGGGACTGAGACAAAGGGAAACCTGGATTCCGTTCCCAACCCTGTCGCTTAAGGCCTGATTTTCAGAGGTACCAGCCTTCACATCTCCCCCTGAAAATAATGAGACCTGCAAGAGGTCGACAACTCTGAAACTCTTTGCACTCAGTTTGCCCCTCATTAAATCTGCATAAATAAATGTTCTTCTCAGAGATGTTGAGGGGTAAATTAGTTAACATTTGTAAATCACTTTTAATTTGTAAGTATTTTAAGATCCTTGGATAGAAGGCACTATAGAAATGCAACTAATTTATTTTTATTGTTGGATGAATATATATAATATATTAATTTCCCCTTTGATATCACACATTCAATGATGTTATTGTGACTCATGACCACAGAATAGGGTGTGGAGTGTGGGAGGAGGCTCAGGGCAGGGGGTTGAGGTGCAGGAAGGGTGCGGCAGGGGGTTGGGTGCAGGAGGGATGCGGAGTGCGGCAGGGGGTTGGGGTTTGGGGTGCAGGAGGGGTTTAGGGTGCAGGCTCCAGCCCGGCACCACATCCCTGCAGCCCCTGGGGGTGGGGGGGCAGAGGGCTCTGTGCGCTGCCTCCCCCCCCCCCCACGAGTACCTCCCCCGAAGCTTCCATTGGCCACGGTTCCCCGTTCCCGGCCAATGGGAGCTGCAGAGGGCAGTGCCTGCAGGCAAAGGCAGCATGTAGAGCCCTCTGCCCCCCAGGGGCCGCAGGGACATGGTGCTGGCCGCTTCTGGGAGCAGGGCCCATGGTCAGCGGCGTATTATCGCCTGGGCCGACAAGGCCTAGGCCAGCAAATTTGAGCACCCACAGAGAAGCTCCCCTGCTCCAGCTTGCCTCCCCCGTGAGTGCACCGCTGCGTCCTGTTTCTCTCCCCTCCCTCCCAGGCTGTAGTTTGCCCAACCCTGTCCTACAGATTTCAAGAGCCCTCGATTCTCACTGGGTGAAATCCAGATGCCATTGAAGTCAATGGGAGTTTTGCCATTTATTTCAATGGGGCCAGTGCTTGGGAGGGAGGAGGGGGAACGCGGCACGCTGTGGGAAGAGGCAGGGTCGGGGGCGGGGATTTGGGGAAGGGATCCAATAGGGGCAGAGAGGGGGCAGAGTTGGGGCAGGACTTTGGGGAAGGGATTGGAATGGGGGCGGGAAAAGGGTGGAGTCTGGGCAGGGCCAGGGGTGGGCAGGGCGGCAATTATTTCAGGGCCTAGGGGCGGCAAAATCATTAATCCACCAATGCCCGTGGTGCCATGGGGGTGGCAATCCCGTGGGCCGCAGAAGCGGCTCTTATGTATTTTGCCGCCCCAAGCATGGCAATCAGGTGGCTTTCGGTGGCACGCTTGTGGATGGTCCACTGGTAACGCAGATTCGGCGGCATGCCTGCGGGAGGTCTGCTGGTCCCGCACCTTTGGCATACCCGCC